GTGTTAAATCTCAGCATGTGACTGTGAGCACGTTTTGCATCATACAGAGCTTTCACAATGTCACATTCAGCTCAGCTTTTCAACCTCAATGTTGTTTTGCTCCAGCCAGTCTGTAAAGCATTTCATGTCCCATCTTATTTGCTGAATTGTATTCTGTTAGTTTCTGACTAATTCCAGTTTGTGTAGTTATTCCTCCATCACAGTTGCCGACTTAAAACCTTGCCTAGGAACAAGGACGGGTTTGGAAGTTTGATGCAGGCCTGTTGTCACACTCGTTAGAATCTGAAAAATAGGCTGCCAACTAATATATTCTCTAGCATTTGTATTCACTAAAGTAGAAAATGAGCGACAGCGTAAAGAAAGTCATTAATTAATGACCAGTGCTCAGCACAATAAGAGCCATTGTGTAAAACGCTTCTAAACCAATCACATTGTGCCTTCTGAATGGACTGTTATATAAATGCAAAATAAATATTATTTGAAATTAATAATGCATTCCAAATTATTCTATTTTGACAAAAACTGTGTTGCGTGCCCCACTTTCTCATTAGTTAGAATTAGTTAGCATTTCCGTCAACGTTCTGTAAATCTTGTCTAACTTCACAACAGTTGTTAGTTGCTGAAAGAATGCACTTGTGGGACAAGCATAAAAGGTCAATTTAGCCTTTTTAATTTTCTCTAATTATCAGATAATTATTTATTGTGATCTCTAAATGCTAAAACTGCACATACATTTAAAAGAAAACATAATGACTAACAAGGCTGCACATTCTTAGCATTCTTAGTAAGAGTATGTGGTTTATCAACTTTGGAAAGTTAAATACTTTCTTAATTTACACCACTAGAGGGCCTGTGAAGGCCCCTTCCATCAGTATTTTATCGTCTTAACCTTTAGAAAAATGCAGCATCATCTTCTGTAACATCCTAGATAAGGATCCACTGTTTTATTCATTCTCGGGCAGGGACTGAGGCTTTGCACTGCATGCTAAGTTTGTGGTAAATATCGCATTTGCAGTTTAGCCTGACAGCAAACAGATGCAGCCAAACAAGCTGGTTTTCCTCCAACTTTTTGAGTCCGTCTATGAATCACTGCTCTACAAATCAGACGGCCACTTCAACTGAAGCCTCCATCAAGAGCCTCTGCTCATACAACTAACTTTTAGTTCCTAAGGTGTTCCAGGAGAGGCCATGGCCCTTTTTATAATCTGTTTGCCATTCATGAGAGGCGGCAGCACAGCTGAATTTGGTGGGAGAAAAAAATCCTTGTCTAAGAGCTGCTTCACCTTCGGATCCACAGCTGGAACAGGGCAAATATCTTGGCCAAGGGAAGCTTGTTATTTACTCCGGGGGGCTCTTGGCTGTGTGTAGGTCTGACGGCGGGATGGGGTACTGTGAATGTTTCATTTGGAGCTTCTATTTTTTTTGCACTTCAGGCTTTGGAAAGTCTGAGAGCTTTCCAGGTAGGGGGATATTTCACTTCTGTTTTGGAGTCCACCAGTGTCCTTGGTGGATGTGCTGGATATGGAATGAGGTTGCTAGCTGCACTGCTGATTGAGATCTACGGTGGAACCTGCCTTCTCTATTACAGTGGGCTGATGCTATCAGGCTGGGTTCATGCTGATGCATCAGATACACAGTCAATATTCTGTTTCTCACATGCCTTACTTGGTGCAGCATTTCAAACCAGCCAGTTTTAGCATCTTTAATATTGTAGTGTAGTGGGCTGACTTGTTGGTTTCTTGTGTTTACCGCCTTAGTAATAACTGTATTGATTTTAGTTTGTGGGACTGGAAGAGGGTTGGTGAATTGACCAGGGTTCTAGGCTCGCTATGCCACTGATACTCACAACAAACACACAGGGACAACTGTTAGTGTTGGCTGTGTAGTTTTCAGTTGTACACAGACCTCAGGGGAAGTACTGGGAGGGGAAAGCCTGGCCAGAGTTGAAAGTGCCTTATCATGTTCAACCTAACCCAACAGAAAAGAACTGTGAAAGAACAAAATATTTCATTTTAATCTTTAACCATATCTCACCTAATGTCTTGTTGGCAGTACATGGAGAAACTTTGGTTTTGTCTTTCATTAAAGTCATTAAAACCAGCCGCCAGAGTATCTAGGACATGTGCAGGTCTCATTGGGCATAGTGAAATAGAACTGTGCTTCCTATGTGCTACCATGTTTTTCATCACTGTGTATAAGAAGCACAATGCTGCCTTTATTATTAGATGCACTGATTTCAGAATGAGTGTGCACAGAACTGATTTGTTTCATCAGAGTAACAATAGAAAAAACATTCTGAGAAAAGCATATCTAAAATAATACATGCTATCCATACAGAATGCTGAGAAATTAGTTCACACTTTCATAACTACTAGATTAGAGCACTGTAATGTATTACTGACTGGTTGCCCTGCTGCCTCTCTAAACCGGCTCCAGCAGTAGCCTGTGTGCTTTCTAGGTAAAGAAGGTTTGAGCATATTATTTAGCATTATTTAGTTTACACTGGCATCCTGTTAAGTTTTGCATTGACTGCAAGGTCTGGCTTATGACATTTGAAGCTCTTGGCTTAGCTCTAGCATATCTCACTGATCTGTTGAAGCACTTCACTCAGCTGTGGCAGGATTACAGCAAATGTCATTTTCTTATATGGCTCCTAAATATAAGGAGTAGGAATGCAAAGTTGATACATACACACATTATGTAAGTTGCTTATCCTCCTGGGTCGTAGGGGTATGCTGAAGCCTATTACAGCGGTCAAGGCAGGAAACACCCTGGACAGGTCGCCAGTCCATCTCAGGGTAGACACACAGACATTCACACCTAGGGGCAATTTAGTGTCTCCAATTGGCCTGACTGAATGTCTTTGGACTGTGGGACAAAACCCATGCAGACACGGAGAGAACATGCAAACTCTACACAGAAAGGACCCTGGTTGCCCTGCCGGGAATCGAACCCAGACCCTTCCAAAAGTAGAAGTATTACGGATCACTTCTGTCTGTGGTCTGTGATTGTGCTGTTTTTAAGAGATTTTAAGGTTTTGTAACTAAATTGAGTACTATATGATTAAGGATTGTATTATTATTATTATTATTATTATTATTGACTTCTTTTTTAATCAACATTGTAGTTTGTGACAGAAACCTATGAATCTATGATAAATGACTTCATTAGATCATTTTCTTCACATACCTAAATAAATCCAACATCAGTATAAATCACATTAAGGATGAGAGTCAATTAAAAAACAGAAATAGTTGCTTTTGTGCCTCAGCATTAAAGAGTTAAGCTGGTTGAATGGTGTGATTATGGGAAAAATAGTTATTATTGTGATTATATTTCTAAAATATTTTGGCTGCTTAGGTAATAATATTGACATTATTGCTTTTACAAGGGTACCTCCTCCTTCACGCTCATAGCACTCTGTTTCCCATTTAGCTGGCAAAGAGTCCCTAGCTGATTTAAAACACAGTGGATATTTATTGTTTATTTACTAAAGCTAAAACATCACTTGCAGCTGAAGCTGTCGCCTCTGGTATGAAGCAAACACACAGCTCAATATGACTTTAAATGCAAAGTTAATAGCCTCTGTGTTTCATATCAGTAGGCTCAGTGCAAGAGTCTGTTTACGAGCATACAAAAGAAACATTTGAGAATGGATCTTTAAAGAACCATTTTAGTAAATGCAATGAAATGTATTGAAGTTTAAACAACCTGCACACAATGTAAAGCTTTTTTACCAATAACAGTGTTCATCATTTACTTTTAAGAGTGTAGCTCTGGTTAAGGTGACCCATGACTATGTCCACTTGGTGGAGTAAAAGTACCACACCAGCCTGCCCTCCTGAACTCCCCTCCACACCCCTGCTGTGATCTGGCCGTGCTCGAACCCTCCCCCGTGTTTCGGCGTCCTGCTCATGCCCCACAAATTTCCATCTGGAGAGCAGAGTCTGTTCCACCTGGACCCGCCATTACGCCAAGACTTATCTGTCCCTCCTGAGCAGAGCCGTGTACCTCTTTACATATTTTTGTCGTGGATTTCATGCTTTCTGGACAACGGTGTGATTTAAGTGCGTCCCTAAAGGTAATGCCAGCACTGTAAATGCATGGCGAAAGCACTTCAGCATTGCTTGGACCCTAATTAAAAAAAGTTGGCCCTTTTTTCACCTTCCTAAAAAGAACTTTGTACAGAAAAGTTTGCAAGATGACACATAATGTAGAATTATGTATTGAAAAAGTATGCCTTATGTCCCTTTGGTGCTACCCATTAAAAAGTGACTAGCTTCTTTCTCCGTACTATAAATGAAAGGTGATGTGTTTTCTATAGAAAAATATTCATTGGAAAGTCAAAATCAAGTCAAGATCACTTACTGTAGCACTGACATAACACATTCATGCGCACTGATTCAAGTTGAGGCAGCGACTAATGACAGCTAAAGTACCTCAGCATTAAAGCTGGTTTTGAGTTCAAGACACAACATGATTGTGTATTTATGAACGTTTTAAACTACTCAGTTTTAAAGAGTAAACCTCTCATAGCTGCAGTGGGTAGTTACTCAAAAAAAAAAAAAAAAATTTCACTATTTTCACTTAGAAAATCAACAGAACGTGTTTTGACCAGGGGTGTTACGACTGTAAATGCATTTACAAAGCAACCTATCCAAATAAAGTGTTGCCGAAGTTTTTATATTTAAACTGTTGTAAAGTGCACTGTAAAATGAAATAAAAACCAACTTATTTCCAAATATGTAATGCTATAAATTGAACTGAACTTGGTTGGTATCCTGTTTGAACATTAAAAAAGCAGTGAAATTCTTACTCCTTAGCACTGTTGAGCTGGGCCCGGCGAGAGGGGCAAGGTTATCGTTTTACTTTCGCCAGGGATCCATTGGGACGAGGCCGGGCGCCTGCAGTCGATGCTGTAACTTCAGAGATTATGTCCATTGATTTTAGCGTGTTGGCCGAGCGCGGCTAAGGCTCTATGTTCTGCTTTGTGGTTGCAGGGGCAGAGGGAGCCGTGTTCAGCAACTCGGTGGAGACCCCACACGTCCGAGCGGAGCCCTTCAAAGAGCTGCGGTAAGAGCTTTCATTATTCACCGCTCAGGGGGGATAACAAAAAAAGGCACTGTGCAAGGAGAAGGGGCTTTAAAGGGTAACGGTACTCTAATCAGCTTATCAGAGCGCCATGCTAACGCTAGACACCACATGGAATCAAGTGATGTGAAGCATTGAAAAAACAGCTGATCACAGATGCAGCACCAAGTGTGCTTTGATGCATCTGAAATTAAATGGACACTCCAGCCAGACTAGGAAAGCCCCCTTCAGATGATCTATCTTGAAAGTGGGAGGACATTATTTTTGAAAAACTGCAACTGCTTTGGGAAGGAGGTGTTAAAGGGCGGTGTGCACATGTACACATTGATACTGCCTTGTGTGAATTTGCGTTGTCGTTATTTATTTTTCGTCAGGTGACGAATGCAGAAGAAATGTCAGATGACTTATGTTAATAGTTACTGTTAGGAAGCTAGAAAACACATTTCAAACAGCTCTAACCACCATTTCATTTAAGATCCACCCCAACTCTGTTGCAAGTTTTCCCCCCACCTTCAAGAGATCATCAGAAGTGGATTTTCTTCTAGTATGACATCGTGTCCCTTTAACATCTGATTTACTAAGGCAGTAGCTAATTAAGTGAATGTGCACAGGACCACCTTTAACTGCACATGCTCATGCCACAGCGTGTTAGTGGACAAACTCAGGTCAAAAAGGAAAATAAACGTTCAGTTAAAGAGAAATAGCATAATTAAGAAATATGATTCTTTCCCACCAAAACATTCTACATGGATATAGATCTGCTCCACATTGTAAAAAAAAAAAGTAGAATTTGGAAAATAAGGATTGCGCGCGCATGTTGCACATGTTTTTTCAATAATTGAGCCGCCTGGTTTTAGAAGGCAGAGAAAAATTCAGGTGAAACCAGCCACCTATAGTTGCTCAAATTTTAGTAAATCAGATGAAATATGTAATCTGACACATTTCCAGTATCTCCACCCGTTTTCTATGGAGTCAGATTCATGCCATTAAAAATCTGAATTTCAGTGTTATTGTTTTGAATCTGTATCATACCATCTGAAATTGAATTCTGTACTGAAATTTAATTTTAAGGTTTGTAAGACAGAAACTGAGTTTTATCGTCCATGATGTAAAACTAAACATCTGATATTTAGTATCTAAGCAGTTCGGTTTTACTGTTAATTCACATGTTCAGATTCACATTCAAAATAAAATCCAGGTGCCTTGTAGGCAAAAGCAGTCGAAAACTGAATCTCTTCCCCGCTCCGCCCCTCCCCTTTGTACCTACACTCACTGGCTATTTTGTTAGAAACACCTACCATACAGGTACACTTGTAGTTACTGACTGTAGTTCATCTGTTTGATAAACTGCAGCAACAGATAAGCTACAGTAAGTCACCTCAATGTTGTTTTGAAAGTAAAGAGCGCTCTCTTATAAACCTTAAATTCAGTTTTAGTTCAGAATTCAGTCTCAGGTGGTATGAATTAGCTTAAAAATACTAGCATTCAAATTCATTTTTTTGCATTAAACTCAAATTTCTAACGGGATGAATAATTTCTGTGTGATCCATGCATATGCGTGCATGGAGAGGGAGAGAAATGGGTCATTCCAGGCCATTTCACCTAGGACCTGTCTGGTCATGTCATCAGTTTCATGAAAAAATTCCAACAAAAACTGAGTTTAATTCATGCAACCATATGAAATTTCAAAACTGTGATCCAATTAGATTTGTAGTTATGAATATTAAAAGATAAACTCTGCATTTTGAATATTGTCTTTAACTGCTTACAGAATGACTGAACTGAAATAATAACTGGACATAAATACAGCACTAAGAATAATATTTTAATTTAAATAAATGGTGTCATATTAATACATTCCTACAACAGGTAATTTATTGGATGATGTACTGTTTTATGACAGCTTGTGCAATATTTTATCATATATATCATATTATATATAATAATATTTTTACAAAATATAAGATTTTGTGTATGTAGTATTCCTACGTTTCTTTCAAACCTGTGAATAATTTATTTCTAAATGCAATATTTGAAGCTACACCATGACTTTAAAATGCTACTTTAAAAAAATCAATTTTATAGGCCTTTTGACTGTAAACTGTTTCAAAAGGCACATTCTATTTCCTTGAAACGTTCAAACTTGCATGGTTTCATAAGCTAAATTGGTTTTGCTTGAATTTTTTCATGGAAATCCATGATGTGACTGGACAGGCTAGAGAGTTCGTGTGGAATGACCCAAAAGCATTTTGGGTTTTGCCAAGCACACAGCACAGCAGTAATTGTGTTGATGCAATATATTTCATTCATGTGGAACCAATGTGCACATTTGAATTTGAAGTGTAATAAGCAGCGTTTTTTCAGTAATGATAAACATGATAAAATATGATATACTAAAAACAGAATGTAAAAAAAAAAATAATAATAATTAATACAATCCTTCATGTTTGTGTGGAAGATCAAAACCATGTTTTGGCAATTCAAGTGTTTTCTTCTTTTCATTGTCACTAGCAGTGGTGCTTTCTCTCTGAGAAGCTGCAGTAACCCAAAGTCCTCCAAACGCTCACACTTCAAATTTATGCTGAGCTGCTATAATTCTAACAGTGAGCAATTTTATTGCTAAAGACTTTTTTTGTATCTACTAGAGCATGGGTTTTCCACCTTTATAGAAATTGCACTCTTAAACTTGAATTAATACAAGGTCTGTACAAACGCAGATTCATAAACATCAATACAGCCCTGACTGTATAGATTTACCTATTGTTAAGAGTTTATTTGTGATATATTGCTGTATTGATATTGAATACAGTGAATACACTGAATACAGTACTGGTGCATGTTATCTGAAGCAATACCAGCAGTCATTCACCACAGTGCAGCTGAAAAAACCAGCTCATCTGAGTTCCATACCAGCGGGATGATTGCATGTCGATAGTAATTTTCCTCAACAAGGCTAATGACCAAAAATTGCCTGGATGTATGTTTAAAAAAGTCTTCTTACATATGCCTCTCTGTTGCGCGCTACAAAGGAGGGTAAAAGAAAAATCATGATTTCCAGGCATCCCTAAGTTTAAAGGTTTTTTTTTTTTATTATTTTGCACGTGTTCAGTTGACAGCAGATTACTGAGTATTTCCATAAGCCTTTCCCTGTCAGCAGAGAGGGAGGGAGGCTATGTTTTGGATTACTGCCTGTTAAATGTATAGCCAGCCATGTTGATGACAAGTCACAGAAGCTCCTGTCTACATTGCAAAACAAGGCAACAGCTCCAGAGCACCAGTGCATGCAAGAAGAAACTAGAAATGTAGGCTTTTTAGTTAAGTCTTAAGTCGTGCTTATTTCTAAAGCTCTGACAATGCTTGTGCATGTTATGGTTGCAACAGATACTCATGAAGTCTAAATATGCTTGCTGATACAATGGGAAAGCACTACGGATCAAGGACCTGACCTGAATGTGCATATTACATTTACAGTCATACTGTAAAGTCAAGCAGTGAGCTGGCTTGACAATGTAAATAGGTGAAATCAATGTACCTTATTAAAAGTAGTATTCACTTATAACCATTAACTAAAGCTACCGCCATAGTAAGCCCCGACCAACATATTGATGCAGATTTATCGTACTGACAGAAATTTCAATAATAAAGCACTGGGATTTAGTACCAGCTCTTAGTAATCTTAGGGGGCCCCCTAGCATCTTTTGGGTTATTATTGTACCATTATGTCTGAGATGCTTGAGTAAATGGGAAAAGCAACTGGTTATTCATGTCTCTCGTCTGGAGACGGAAAACTGAAAGGACAACATGAGGAGAAAAAGCTTAAGGATAAAGTTATGTTTTGTTTTTTGTGGTGTTCATGTTATGCCATTTGTTTTAGCTTGTAGTTGGACAACACGAAGTAGCCGATCTGGGGTCTGTCTAAAGCAGCAAGTTCAACTTAAACAGGTTTTCTAACTTTGACAAGTGTGATCTTCACAAAATCTAAGAAACACAGACACGGTTAGCTCATTTTACAACAGCAGTCAAAAACTTCCTCTGTTAATCCAGGTTTAGATACCCAGGCTATGACTAAACCTTGTGCACACATGAGGAGGAGTCGTTAAAGTAGGAAAAAGAAATCATACTAAATATGTAGAAAGTAACGGTAAAAAAAGCAAGGCTGTCTCCACTGCCACTGGGATGAGATCCAACAAAGCTTAAAGTTAACTGCATTAACAAGAAATAATGCATCGTGAGATACACCTGGATCCAGACTGCTAAGAAGGTTATCTGTAATTTAAATTTAATCTCATTAGAACCCCAAACAAGCAATCCGCAGTATTCAATTAGCCAGTTATAAATGTATACATTTTAAGATGGGGGCCCTCCGAAACAATCCTGAGCTTATAAGGCTATAGCCGTTGTACTTATACTGAATGTAACAAACACACATTTCTAATGATTTCATGCTTATATGCCAGTCTTTAGAAACTGCCAAGCTGACAGTCACCACTTGCTCACATCTGTTACAGTAATAAAGGCTGACAATGTCAGTTTAAAATAAAACAATAATCAGAACATAATTAACAGAAAACAGATTTTCTAAGAATTTTGACAAGTTCCATTCTGTACTCTGCAGTAGGGCATCAACAATCATATTTAATAACTTACAAACTTCAATTTCACTTCCAAAAGCATTGTGACAGTATGTGAAAGCTAATACAAAGAGAAAGCAGTGATAAGTAAACTCTTCTTGACCTGTATTATATTGAAAACAGATATTTTTTGTGTGTGTGTTTGTGTAAATATACACACTTTCCAAGTCTAATGCCTGCAATACATTCCAAATAAGTTGGGAGAGGAGCATTTCTACCACTGTATTATATCACATTTTCTTATAACAACACTTCATAATCATTTGGGGACTGAAGACACAAACTGATCCAGTTTTGAAAGCAATTTTTTTGCCAATCTTCCGTTATACAAGTCTTTAGCAGTGCAACCTT